AGGTGGATTGATACGGTAACTGCTGCAATGGGCTCTTGTGTGTCAGGAAGTGTGAGGATGATGCAGGATAGAAGAGGGTTCAGATCTTTTGTTCACAGGGTTGCTACGAGTCATACTCGATTCAATGGCACCTAACAACAACAAATTCAATTACCTGGCTCATAACGAAGACTCAAAATTCACTGCCATCAAGTCCTTTCAGACTCACAGCAAAGCTCTAACAGTTTTCCAAAGCTGTGAATCTCAACAAGCGGAGACTGCTCATCTTTCTCCACAGTCAATGGTCATCAGCATTTAAATTGCCAGAGATTCTATCATCGGTTGTTTTCTCAATGTATCACTTGAGTCAGGAAACATGTTACGCCTTCTTGTTGTAGGAAAACCGACTTGCAGATTATAAAAGAGACACTGGTTGATGTTCCTAAATGGCCCCATGGACTTAAAGTGATCAGGCCCTAAAAAGTTGTTGTAATGAGGTTTCTTTAGCAAGTTCTTGTTTAAATTATCATTTATTTGATGAGTGAAGTTTTTAACTTGCTTTGCTGTGTGAAATTTATAAAAGGGATTGTTTTTCCAGGCTGGAACAATAAATGTCGCTGTGCAGTTTAAAAAAAAAATAAATAAATAAATTGCCAGAGATTCACAATCTCAGAAACACAACGCTCTATGGATTGTACCACCTGACTCAGAATGTTTGCTAAATGAACAAAAGAAAGAAATATTAGCATTGAAGCAGAAGTGTCTACCAGACCTAACAAGAAGTCTGATTATCAAACAGTTCACTCAGTAAGCTTCTCAGAATCCCACGCCTTGCTTCTCAACTGCTTTTCAATTCTTAAGCCTCCAGGGAAACTCTGTCACGGGGTATGATGCCGAGGGGCTCTATTCATTCTTCCTACTATAGCCTTTAGCCTTTGTCCATGAGTCCAACACAAAACCTGTGCATCCCTCATTCATCAAGAGTTAGACAAAAGAGCTGCAACTTCATTGAGTGACTGAGTAGTCTGGGGGTTCTACTCCACTGTGACCTTAATCTAGTTGAACCTAAGATAAAAGCAACTGTTCCCGCCATGAAAGTGAGGGTTACAAAAAGAAAGAAATATCACTGGGTCTTCCCAGAGCTAACTGCATGGATATCTAATGCTGGGGAGAGCCCCTCTGTGAGACTGGGTCAAGAGGAAAAAGGATAGACATTCCAGGGAAGAAGCTTCTTCCTGCCCAATGAGTTCCAGATCCAGAGTTAAAAGAATAGGATTGTCACTTAACCCATTGTGGCTCTTAGTGACCCAAGTGTCTGACAGAGTTTTCAATAGTTGGTATTTTTTAAGCAGTTCACCAAGTTTTTGAGTTGTCTTTGAGTTTGTCTGAACCTTTAACACTTCAGTTAACAACTGATTATGTTAGCTGTCTGCACCACTTAGGGACTCCTTGGTCTTAGAGTGTTACTGCTGTCAACTGCCACTGAGTTGACCCCAACTCTACGGACAATAGAACAGGACGACGCTTCCCAGTCCTGTGCCATCCTTATGCTAGCGAAGGTTATCACCACTATGATCCATATGGTTCTCTTTGGCTGAGTCTTGGAAGTAGATTACCAAGCCTTTCTTTATAGTATGCACCTGGAAGTTCTACTGAAACATGTTCAGACCATAGCAACACTCAAGCTTCCATTGAAAAAGACTGGACTTGAGGTGCACTGGCTGGGAACTGAACCTGAGTCTCTCATATAGAAGCCAAGGATTTGACTACTGAACTATCAATACCCTCCTGGAGTCTCTCCTATTTCGAGAGAAACTAGTTCTTGCCATGTCCCCTGAATGTAAGGATGCAAAATGAAAGCAGAGAACAGGCCCTTTTCTAAAACTTTTATTTAGAAATCTTCCCAATATATCTTTATATATATATATTTACACACACATCATCACCACACAGGTTTGTTCAATAGAGTTACACGCCCACAGTGTTGGCCTCTGGGCTGTACAAAGGTCAAGGTACCTGGAGCGGTTACTCCTCTTCTGCAGAAAAATGCAGAGGCCAACACAATTCATCACATACAGTACAACATTGACGGAAAGTGCTGGGCCCGCCCACAGAAACACTGCACTATGTACATGGGCAGGGGGCAAGCCTTCAGCAGGGGGCCACGTACCATTGAAATCACAAGTACGACCAGACCCACTCCCAAAAGGCCAAAAGAGCTGTTGGCTGATTGTAGATGCTGTGTCCTTTGTTTTCTTTTTGAGAAAGGATAAAAGTTGTACCTTCTTGTCATTTTCAACTACAAATCAAAAATGCAGATTCTTCTTAAAAGGTGTGATTTCCCTTTTTTACATTCATCTTTGTTTTCAGAATGTTCCAAGTGCAACATTCCTTTTTGTTTTATCCTCAATTGTTTTCATGTTCTGTTTTTCCCCTTCTTTTGTCCAGATATTATTCTTGGAATGTTGCCATTTCTTCAAGGGATAAGGAGAAGGTCTGGGGTGGTGAGCAGAAATACAATAAAAATTGTGTATCTTCTTTAGTTCTTACAAATACCTGAGCCTTGCCCTTTTCTATCCCAGGACCATATGGTGTAGTCACGGTACATTTACATTCTGTCCATGTTTCTGTATCTCTTTTCCACTCTTACTCCTGCCCCTGGTCTTGGAGTGAGAAGCAAATGAAGACGATCTGGAGAAATGAGGACAATCAAGATAACTTAGGCAGAAGTGGAAAGAACCTCAGTTACCCTGATGCTGTGCAATCAAGAAGACTACATCATTGCCCAGATCTCAAAGTCAGTTAGAAACCAACCCAGGACTGATATTGAGGACAACATAGCTATTTCTGTCTCAAGTCCCTTCTACTTTCATGATCCCATTCCATCCACAGTCCTGAGAGACAAGACAAGGCAGGTTCTGATGAAAAACTGATGGTCGGACAACTTATCCAGATCACTCTACAAGACTGGGAGAAGAGGAAAATGGAAGCTTGAGTTCCTGATAGACTGAAAGCCACCTTGTAAAATCCACACACCCATCCACAGTATGGTGAATATTCACCCTCAAATCAAAGTAATCCATTGAGAAGCCAGCATATTTTCAGAAGCTAGAATGGCTGCTCCATTATGAGACAGATGGTATTTCTCAAAGGTCTTTCCAAGCACTGAAAAGGAATCCATGCTAATGTTCATTAATATATTGTTTTCTGGGGGTTGAAGTAGAATAGAGTCAGTGTGCCACAAGGGTTAACCACATGGCTCCCATCCCCAAGAACTGGCCCTTAACAACTAAACGCAAGAGGGAGAAAGGCGGGGCTCATTTCCCTGACTACACACGACTGGACTGGAGGCCCCATAGGGGCCAGGGCAAGCCACTTCTGATTGAATACTCTGTGCAAGGAGCTCTCCTGGCAGCCAGAGTGATGGACACTTGCCCCAATATACAATCATTTCTCTCTGGCCTTAAAGGCAGAACCTGATGGGAGAGGACTGGAGTGATTTGACAGTACAAAGGCAGTTGTCTGGAGTTTCTGTGCTGCTGGTTCTATGGGCATGGAATGCAAGCTACAGGCAGGTCTACACTTAGGAAGACCATGTCCTTCCATTTGGATCAACATAAGAGATAAACAAGGGGGCAGGGGTCCACTCTACAAAAGGATTCTTCATTTCACAAAAGGCCTTGCTGATATAAGAATTTGATGTGCAGAAGTTTCCATGTACAGTGTTTTGAGGGGGTACTCCTATTGCATGAAGCCAACCTCCTATATAAACCCTTGATGACTGAAAGCTTCACAGTGGAGGGGTGGTTACGATTCAGCTATGTGTATGTGTCTGTGTCTGTGTGTGTCTCTGTTTGTGTCTGTGTGTGTGTCTGTGTATGTGTATGTGTCTGTGTCTCAGTCAATGCCTGGTATCTTACTGGACTCCTCCAGCCCTGTAAGTGGAGCTGTATCTCATATTATATCAAGACCTAAAGATCTCAACAATAACTGAAGTTAAACAAAAGTCTTAAATGCAAGGAATTCATAGGATAGAGTCTACTCAATCCAGGACACAAACCGGCCTATAAGCAAATAGCCATCCTGTGGCAGGGACATTCCTCTAAGCTGCTAGGGGAAAAGTCCAGTAGTGCTTCATCTACAAGCACCAGCATATACCAGCAGCACCCTGCTAAGTGCCCACCAGGATGAGCAGTGACATGCAGCTGAGAATATAAGCCAATCACTGAGCTACAAACTGATTTGAATTTCACAAGCCCCCAGAGCGCTTTCCCTGCCTTCGCACAAAGCCTACTAAAGCACACTCATGGCCACAGACTCAGTCCCTGCAGCACAAAGATCAGGGAGGAAAGTCTCAATGGGCAAAGAGCAGACCTTTGAATAATGACTGTTGGGCCTTCTGCCTCTCTGGTCCAGGGAGCCAAAACAGACTGTCCACTGGCTTTCTTCTTCAATCAGGCCCTGAAGAAGGCACCTCATGTCTTGAGACTAAGCAACAGCTGGTGAGCTGACTAGATCAGCATGGCCTGGGTGAGGATGGAACTTAAGAAATAGACAGTTATTGGGTACCTATGTATTTGAACAGATGTGGCGATGCAAGCCACTCTGGCCAGCATGGGAGAGGCTGAAGGCAAGGCAGAGGCTGGTGGATGCCTCGGGTTAGCACTGACAACCTCAAGTTTCAGCAAAACGTGGGCTCCCAAAGCCCAGGTTGAAAACAGTGACACTAGAGCCTCTTACTTGGGAACTCTTAGAGATGTGGGGAAAGGGGAAGACTGTGCCGTCTTCATAAAAAGTACCTACCACTTTGCTCCATTTGTCTGTTCTCCTAATAGGGTAGAAAACAGAACAGCCAGCCCTGGGGTAAGTCAGGGCTTCCCAAAGTTCAGACATCAAGGAAAGCTCATGAAGTCCATTGCCCATTTCAGAGTTGTCCAAGGCTTGCCCCATATGCCCTGAAGCCTGCCATCCCAGTGGCCTAAGGGCACCCTCCTGGTTGGTCCCAGGTGGCCCTGAACCCATCACCGTGGACCAGCTCCATCAGAGGCAGGCAGAATGGCAGGGTGGAGGCTGTGGGCTGTGTGCTTGGGCGCTGGCTCCTCTGTGTAGCTGTCTGGACTGGCTGCCCCATCTAGGGAACTGCCACAGCTGGAATTGGGAGACAGCACATCCTGCAGTAGGTCATCCGGGGGTGCACCACCCCCTCCTCCACCCCCACCTCCACCAGCCACAACCACTGGGTCCTTGCCAGGCTTGGCCCGCTGGGTGCCCTCTTCTTCCTGATCATTAAGCAGCTTGGCCAGGAAGTTGATGTATTTCATGGCCAGGCGGAGGATTTCATTCTTGCTGAGCTTCTTGTCTGGGGGATGTGTGGGGATCAGCTTGCGGAGTTCAGCAAAGGCCCCGTTCACATTCTGCTGCCGCCACCGCTCTCGGCTATTGGTGAAGATGCGCCGCACGACTTTGGTGTGGGGACCTGGGGGATAAGAGGAGGATGAGAGTTAACAGGGTGGGCCGGTGATACCTAAAAGGAAAACTGCATGAAAAAAGACAAAGGCTCCAGCTGCACTGCAATCCCAGAAGTGCACGGTTCAAAACCACCAGATGCTCTGCTGGAGAAGGAGGAGCAGTCTCCTCCTGTATCAGTCAGATTTGATTTGACGGTACACACACACAAAAAATAATAAAATTAAAAAGTAAAAAAAAAAAAAACAAAAAACCAAACGACAAAGGCTCCACTGGGGAACTTCAGATAGTTAGAATGCCACCTTCTCCCTTACTTTAAAAACTCTACTTCAGAATCTGATTCCCATGTTTACTCCTCTCTGAGATCTTCCTCCAAGCTCTATAGACTGCTTGGAGTGGTCACTGAAATCCTAAAATCTCTTTATTTCCACCACTCTAGATTATATTTGTCCTTTGAACTGAAAGATATTTGAGAATAGGGACCAAGTAGTTCAATCATTTATTATCTCACACCAGGAGCCCACAGAGTATACAAGTTAGGAAGATGGAGTGTGGAGTCAGGCTTCCTGAATCTGATTCCTATTACACCTTAGCTGAGTGATGATGGGCAACTTACTTAAACACTCTGGAGCTTAGTTTCGTCATATGAAAAACAGAGACAAAACTAGTAATTCAAGACATAATGTTGTCAAAAGTAAAGTTTAAGTTTAAAAGTAAAAGTTTCTTAAATTTAATATGTGACTCAGATTAAAGACTCAGTAAATGCTAGCTGTCATTATCCACAGAGATGTTTACTAACAAGCAGGCATGACGGCAGACACTGATGAACAGAGTGAACACTAGCCACCGGGGGCCCTGCCTTTATGGAGGTTACACTGTAATGAGGACGGCAGGTGGGAGAATCTGTTCAATGAGGATGAACAAGTATCAGGTAAATAAAAATCAAATTCATTTTTTAACACATTTTAAAAACATGCGCACATACACACACAAAAGGGGCTAACATGGCTCGAAAGGCCTTTTTTGAGAGGGTGCCATTTATAAGAACCTAGTCAGTAGAGAGTCAACTCATTGCTGTTAAGTCAAAATTGACTCATAGCTGATGCCTACAGTGGGTTTTATAATCACATAGGAGGAGACTGCCCATTTTTCTCCCATGAAGCAGCTGGCAGATTCAAAGCATGTGCCTTTGGGTTGACAGGGCAACCCAAATCCACCAGCTGCTTCCTGGGAGAAAGACTGGCAATCTTCTCTCCTGTAATTTACAGCTTCTGAAACCCCCCTTGAGGGCCAGCTATGAGTCAACTCCAACTCAAAAGCAATGAACAACAATCATTGGAATTGTGATGCCAACTCAGAAGCAGGTAACCTGAATCTAGCAGCTGCTTTGTAAAAGATGGGCAATTCCCTCCTATGCAATTTATAGCCCCTGAAAACCTAAAAGCTTGCTGGAGGGGCAGTTAAGTCAGTTCCAATTCAACACCAATGAAGAGTATTTTGTTGAAAGAACTAGTCATGAAAAGTAAGTGAAATAGTAGAACGCTTAAACAAATGCATGTGCAAAGACTCTAAGGTGGAAAATCACACATACACATTTTGCCAGAAAGGCTTGCTAGCTAGACCAGCATACAGAAGATCAAAGTCAGCAAGGTCAAGATCCAAGACCCAGATCAAGGTGCAGTAAGCCATAGGATCTTATTTTAAGAGTGCAGGAAAGCAGAACAGGAGCTTAGTCATATTTATTGACTGACTTGCTGTGGCAGAAGGTAAGGAATGAAGGAGAAGGCAGAAACCAGAGGGGAAAAGATTTCTCCTGCAGACTTTTTTCCTCCAGAAGAAGAGCACAGAATTAGTTCTGCACAACCATGGCCTGAAATACTAGGCAGGCTTCTAATTGCTGCCCTAGAGTCTGCTCTCTCTACCACTCAGTGATTACAGAGAGGACCAACATTCACTAGCGTTCTATACTAAGACTACAGAACAGACACCAGCACTTGTACAGAGCCTAAAGTATGCCTGACCAAAACCAGGAGACAGAAGACCCTGCTAGACCTCCTGAGCTCCTATACTGAGGTGATATAGCCCCTCTCCAACACTGACACCATATAAGTTCCACACACTGAGCGCACAGCTAGTCCTGGGATATCTGCCTGTGAGCCATCTCTCAGCAACTCCTAGAAACAGAGTTCACACATGGAAACCCAAGGTAGAGGGGCAGAGGAGCAAAGACGCTGTCTAAGTCCCTACACTTGTGTTATAGTTAGAGAGACTGCGGCTAAAACAGAGGCAGACTGTGCTTCAGTGGTCAGTCCTGTGACACAGTTGATTCATGCCAACACTTCTTGAGTATCTCTCTCCTATAAGGTCTACTCTGTCACATGGAGGTGCTATAAGTGAGAACTGACTTGACAGTACAAAACAACAACACAGAAATTGTATTTTCTCAGAGAGTTTCACTTGTCCCCTCCCCACAGTGCCAGTGAAGCTATCTTTTCAAACCTCATAGGACTCAGACAACTTGATGCTTTGCCAGAGGCCAAAGCCAATGCAGGGTGGGTGGGGTGGGAATACCTGCCAGCCATGCTGCCTCAGAGAAAACAGCACACTGGTTTTCTCTGGCCTCCAGGTCAGATGGAGGAATTCCCTTGGCTAGGATGCAGAGAGGATCATTCCTTGTACTGTGCCCCAGCTACTGCTGGTAGTCTTGAAGGGGTCCCTGGATTGGGGGAAGGTCAAGAGTATGATTACCACTGTCATCAAAAAGTTAGATAGACTCTAGGAGGCGGAAAAGGTGGTCAAGACTCAGAAATGCTATAGGCAAGGTCTAAGACTCAGCCGTGTATTCTTGTGCAGGCTCCTTAACTTCTCTGAGTCTCAATTTCTTCATATATAAAATGGAAACAATGACAGTTATTTGTCTCATGGGCCTGTGGTGAGATGTAACTAAAACTCAAACACAGAAAGTCCATGGTGCATAGCAAGTGCTCAGTAAATGGTATCAATGATTGCTATTAGCTGTTTCTCTGCCCTCACCCTAAACTAAACAATTTCTTGTAGACCTCTGTGACCAGTTCTGTGCTGGGGATGAGGAATAAAGTCATCAATAAGTCAGATAAGATCCTCATTGTTAAGTCTCTAATAGAGAGAGACTTAATTGTACCCAAAACACATCTATATCTTCCTGACACACAAAAAAGGGGGACAGGAGGGATGAACATTCTCATTTCTTTAGCACCTTCCCTGAGTTAGAACCTAAAAGCACTTTACCTCCTAGAACCCTGTCAGCAAACTTCTGGTTTTACAAATGAGGCAAGTGAGGCCCAGAAAAGTTCAGTAAGCAGAATCCACATCAAAATCTGACTAAATATTCTCAGTTCTATGTCCAAGGATTCTTTTCTGTTCAATGTCTAACTTCAAAGTCCCAAAGGCACATGCTGCTGCTACTCTAAACCATCCCTTTCACCCACAGTTCAATCTCTCCCTCTCTCCCAGGGAACTACCTGTCTTCCTGCACCTTTAAGTTCCTAAATCTGCCCATCCCTTAGTGTCCTCCTACCTCTACAAGGAGGTGCTCAGCAAATACTTGTCATATTTACGGGTAATTGCTTCCTTACACTTGACCCTTCCGCCATATCTCCCCTTTATCTATTCTTTACATGTACCAAAAAAAGAGTGACTAATTTTTTCAATTCCCCTGTCCTGTAGAAAAATGTTTCTTTCCTGGGGAACTTCAGAGCTGCTCCTGCCCACTTTCTGTTTGGCTACACCCATCTTCCTAGACTGATGGACCTCTCCCTAATCTAGAAGCACCGATACCCTTCAAACATTCCCTCTTGGTTCTACACCCTAAATGGCCCAGGCATGTTGGGTCATTCAGAAAGAACTCCACTCTATTGTCCAGGCTCCAGAACACCACAGACAGCAGCCCTCCAAAATGTCACACTCGGCAGACACCATATCCCACCCACACTGGCCCCATGCATAAGTCTCAGCCTGGTTCAAGGACTCAGGTAGCCTGTGTCCCTAGGGCTCCAAGGATTTGCCCAGTCTTTCAGCAATAACGAGCTAGCTCTTCCTGCCCCCTAGTGCTGGGCCCCATCTACTACAACAAGTCACACAAAAAGAGCTCAAGGATGTTTCCAAATTTACCACTCATTCTAGGTATTGCTCCAACTTGGGGGCACAGAGTATTCAGGAATTTCACAATAGCAGTGCTGGACCCCTCATCTCTACTTCATGGGAGCTAGGATGAGGGTAGAAGTGACAGGTAGGTCTTCACCCACAATGTGAAACAGGGAACAGGAGTTCAAGCAGGGAACAGACAGATGTCAGACTCCAACAAAGACCAGAGAAAAAATTGTAAAAAGGAGCAGGCAATCCTTGAGGTTCAGTGAGTTGAGTCATGAGATGCTTTTGTCTTTCTCCTTCCAAACCCTTAACAAATTGTAAGAATGGAGCCCAGAGTTGGGACTAGAAATGAGACCAGAGGCTAAGCAAAATTACATTCCTCTTGCTTATGTCCTTTCCTCCTAGAACTATGTGTGTGGCTTTTCACTTCCAACCTTGATGTCCTCCTATTCCAGATCACTTGCAGAGTGAGGAGTGTTGTAGCTTCCCAAAGTGGGTTCATCCAGCTATCTGGAGGCACCAAAGTACAGCTCTCCTGGGTATATCCAGGGGAAGGTGGGGCAGACTCACCATCAGTAATCTCCATCTCATAGGGAGAGGGTCTCCTCTTCATGCGGTTGTTGGTGGCAAACATAGGGAAGGCATCAGGCTCTCCAAAGAACCCGCTGTGGAAAGGATCAGGTCAGATCACAAGATCATATGTAGAGAGAGGACAGAAAGAAGCTCTTAGTGGTCCTCCCCACATGAACACCCTTCCATAGAAAATACAAGAGTCATTCCAGTCCCTTATCACTTTAATTACAGACAGCAAAAACTAAACACACACACACACACACACACACACACACACACACGCCCCACATGGACAGGCACACTCCCTCCCCCAGACACAAGTCCACAGTCCACATGGAAACCTCCACTGCCCCCTCCCAAAGAATTAAAGTAGATGTGGCCTTCCTGTCCTGATTGATAATAAGGACTCCAGCATCATAAAAAAAAAAACACACTCCCTACTGCCTGCCCCTTCTCCTTGGCAAGGTGGGAACCATGAGCACAGAACACGGGAAGTCCTGACTCATCACTCCTGACTTGCACACCCAATCATCTATATGTGACACCTACTCAAGACCCTGACCTTGGTGGGCTCTTCTCTCTGAGAAGAAGAGAAGGTTGAGTAGATTGTCAGTAATCTCCCACTCTGCGCTCTCTATGGCTTTTTTCTCCAACTCTCTCCCTGACTCCCTGGCTGGTCCTATCCTCTCTACCTCATTTTTCTGTCCCATATCTATCCCAGCACTGCCTTGGCCTCTCCACCACCAAAACTGCCCCAGCAGAAACATGAACTTCTATAGTAAGGAGGGAACAGGACCAGGTCAGAGCTCTAAATTAGGGGCAGAAAGGGACTTCTGGATAGCAGAAGAACCAGGTCCACCCTGAGAATAGGGGTCTCCAGCAGATTAGATGAGGGTGTGCATGCCGCCCTCAAATCATTATTTCCTCCTTTTCCACAGAGACCTGGATCTTCCTTGGTAACTTCACACCCACTAGCAGCAAATACTACGTTTACTCACAGTAGTGCACATTCGGACATACTGTTTCCTGGGACACACACTCCCAGGCTCTGTCCTATCTCTCTCCTCACCACACTGCACACTATCCATCTAACTCACACGCGGGCACACTGCAGCACATAAAGGCAGGCATACCCTCTCCTCAGCTTACACACCCGCGGCCATATCACACAGTCACAGGGCGTCTTCATCATATCTGCCCCCTCTGCCCTCTCTCTCTCTTAAGCCGGGGCTCTCGCTCATAGAAGGTTTCTCCTCCCTCTCTGCGCTCCCACTCCTGCGGGAAGGCGAAGCGCGCTGACCTGCTGAGCGAGGCGAGCGGCTGGCTGAGGCTGTAGAGCAGCGCGCGGCCCGGGGCGGCAGGGGCCGCCAGCGCGGGCGGGCTCAGCTGCACCATGCGGCCGTCTCCGGGCAGCTCCGCGGGGGCCGAGGAGGGCGCGGGCGCAGGGCCTGGAGGTCTGCACAGCTCGGTGGTCGGCACTCGATGGCGCGCGTCGGCCGCGGCCGCGTCCCGACCCTTTAAGTCTCGCGCGGCGCCGCCCCCAGCAGCGGGGCCGCCCCCCGGGCCACGAGAGCCCAGCTCGATGACCGGGGGCTCCGTGGGGACCGCGCGGCTCGTTTCCTTGGCGACGCCGTTGAGCAGGACCAGGTGCGGGGGGGCCATGCGGGCCTCGGCCGCGTCCCGTCCCTCTAGCGGGGGGTCACTGTGTGCCGCCTCGCTCGGCGGCCGCTCCGTCATCCTGCAGACAGATAGACAAGGGGGCACTCGTTCATACAGCCGTCCCGGAGCCATGGGCGTGGGGTACAGGGCAAAGGTCCAGAGAGTCACTCACGCCCCAAAACGCTGGAAGGGGAGGACAACTCAGGGACACGTGGACACTCGCTCGCCCAGGGGCCTGAAGGCAGGGTGGGGCCAGGGTGGGAGCGTCTAGGGGTCTCAGGGTTGGGAGCCGAGGGAGGATGGGGGTCCTGGGAGATGGAGCCTGAGAGGGCCAAAAAGACAGAGAAAGACGGACATTTAAAGAAAGCGAATGGAGCCATCGAAAGAAAAACAGAAGGCGTGGAAGGAGGAAGGAAATGTCGAGAGAAAGAGAAAGAATAATCACCCGGTCCCCCCTTCTCTGGCCGCAAGGGAAGAGGAGGGAACACAAACCCCCACGGCGCTCTTCCCGCCCCGCTTATGGTTTAGGGCGGAGAATCGGGCGGGGCGGACAGGGGTGGGATATTTTTCGAACCTCCTATCCCCTCTTAGCAATAATCCCCCCCACCCTCAGTACTGGCTCATATACACCCAGAAACCCTCTCGAGGACTCAAGCAAGCTATTGGAGAACAGAGACCACAGGAGCCAGTCTGGAAGAGGAGGCAATGAATTATCCTCAAGAACCAACTCTTGTCTCTCACCATGTGCATTTTCATCCTGCGGACTGGAGAGTGTGTCCCTACACTAAGCAAATCCACGTGTACTCAGTGCCACTTCCACCCAGACCCGAACATGTGAGGTGAAGAAGGGAGGAAGAACCTTCCTTCCCTACACTCCAGCTATTACTTAAAAGTAATGCTCCGTCTAGAAGGACTGCCTGGCTCAAGCTGTACTGCACCGCTCTAAGGGTGCTCCTTTAATCCCAGGGTCTGGGCAGCATTTCACAAGCCCACTGGGGTGTCTGGAAAGCCTATGTACCCGTTCCAGTTCTTGGTGACTTCTTCTGGAAAATGGGAAGAATATTTCGTTTGTGCAGTTAAAAGTGCTGCTCATTCTTAATTATCAAAGGCAAGACTTAGGGAGGGGACACCCTCATTCCAGGTCACAAGGAGCATACAGGGGATAGAGACAGACTGAAACTTCAATCCCACTCCAAACAACATAGACCGTTTTAACAGACACAATTTTAACATAGTTATTATATGTATATTGCTTTAATATATTGTTTTTATTTTTATATCTACATATGGAGAAAAAGGCTCTCAATGCTATAGAAATGGGATATTATAAATCCCAAAACAAGCAACAATCAGTGTAGCCCTAAGCAGGGAGCATTTAACCAGAGCCACTGAGCTCCCATTCTGCTATTGCTCTGCTGTGAGTCGCAGTCTGTAGAAGGGAGGCTGTAGAAGGGAGGCTAGACCTTCGTGGAGAGTGCAACTGAATTGCAACCAGACACTCAAACCAATGGGGGAATTCCAATTCAGATGATACCCAGCCAATTCAGATCTGCCAGCCGGTGGGCTCCAACTAGAAATGACAAAACCCTCTGGGGTCTGCTGTGCCTCAGCTACAAAGGCAGTGGGTCAGCGATGCTTCACTGGAGGGAATTTATGGTCATAGTAGAGACAGTAGATCTGTATTCACAGAAAGCTAACAGCCTGAAAAGGCTTTCCATGGCTAAGACAGCCTGCCACAGGAAAAGCACCTAAGAGAATTCAGGTTCCTTAAGATGGTGAAATCCACCAGTCCCTTATCAAATAAATACACAAATTTCAACTTGCCAGCTCCCTACCTCACTTTATCAAGGCACCAAAGCGACATGTCTCTCTGCCTCAGCTTTTAAACAAGTGACACAGTGTTCACAGCAATTGCTGGACTGAGCTCAAACTCATTCCCCTTATGACACATTTATACTCTCTGATTAACATGCAATTCTTGCCATCGAAATGGGTTCCTACAGGATGAGGACAGTGTATTATTCCAGATGAGTTAACCAAATGCCCTCTCCAGACATCTTTAAATATATATTTTTTTTTAATTTTTTTTTTTTTTTTTTGCCTAACTCCCTGTGAGAAACATAGTGATCTCTAGGGACAGTGACTTACCACTGTCCACCCTTTCCTGACTTGAGGTAAACCAAAAGGACTCCTCTGTAACCAGGACTCTCCCACACACCCCGACCTCTGCCCTGGGGTCCATAACACCAGGTCCTAAAGTCATCAAAACACTCAGAAGCACCTATGGTTGGCACCTAAACTTTACCACTTAAATTAAAATTACTGAAAGGAAAGCCTATATGGTTTTAGTTTGGTTTTAATTGGGAGGTAGTATGGAAAGGCTTCTGAAGGAATCTCACTATATATTTAACTATCACAGCGCCTCTGTCTTTGTGCCGCGAAGACCCAGCTCCCCGGTTCAGCAGACCTTATACTTGTAGACAGGCCACTTCGTTTCTGTGTGCGCCACAACAAGACCTGGGGTCCTAACGTTCCTAGGAGTAGGCAGTGGGTCTGGGGTACTCGATGCAGAGAATTCTTGTATGAAAACACTCTGGCAGAGCTTTGGGTTGGCACGTAGACCAGGCCTCCTCTCAGGTACCTCTCAGCACCCACATCCACACGATCTCCTGGGAGACCCTCAGGCTTGCACGAATGCCCTCCGGTGAACAGAACCATTTTCCAGGCTGCAACGGGGTAGCGGGGAGTTCCAGCGCGGCCCCGCCCTAGGCCTCAGGCCCCGGTCAGGGCCCACCAGAGGCCAGCTCTGCCCCGCCAGGATGGCTGCGGCCTTCTTCCTGCCGAAGCCCCAGGCTCAGCCTGCACAGCCCGGATATAGCCGCCCCAAAGTTCCCGGTCTTTTAAAACGTCCACAGAACCCGGCACCGATGGGGGCGCCCTGGGGGCCTAAATACAACCAGCTGATTTTACCACGTCCAGAAAAAAGGAAAGGGCCTGATGGAGGCCAGAGCAGGCAGCGGTAGGGTCAGAGCCCCCAGCCCCAGCCTCATCCTCCCCTCCCCTGAAATCTAAACTGGCCTCTTCCGTGCTGCCAATCTGGACCCAAAGCCTCCCGGGACACTACGCCCACCCACATCCTCCCCACCAAAACTCACCTGGGGCATATTTAGTAGCACCGGCCCTTCTAAATAGAGTCTCTGCTCTCCCCTCGTAGAGGGCCAGGGATCCAAGTGGAGACGTGGACGCGCTTTTCGGCTTTGGCTTTTTGCTTTCTCTCTCTCTCGCCCAAGGCTGGCAGTTAGGCCGCGGTGCGGTCCAGTGCGGTCTGCCGCGCCCAAAGCGAGTTTCCAGGAAAGATGGGGGTGGAAGGGAGAGGGAGAGAAGGGGAGAGGGGGAGGAAGAGAGAAATGGGGGTCAATGGCTGGGAATTACCTCATGCCCCCACCCATCACCAGCTTTCCAACTCTAGCCTGCAGGTGTTTGGAGCCACCAGGGGTACCTCCTCCCCAAAAAAGAACCCTACACCTGACCAATCAGGAAGAACTATTTAGTCCACGAACCACCACCCCTCTGGGGAGGCTTCCTGGAGTTTTTTCAGACCCTGCAACCCGGAGCTGTCCGGTTCAGGGAGGCCGTTTGTTTTCCAAGCAGGACGTATCTATGCGGTTGGTCCGGAACCCGGCTTCGGCCACAAAGCGAGGGGGTCATCCGGGGCCTGGCGAGTGGGTAGGGGGATGTGTGTCAGAAAAAGACAAATGGAGTCTTCAGAGCCTGGGTGTGGGTGCGTAGGGCAAAACCTCAAGGTCCCCCAATTCTCTTCAAGACACCCCCCCCCACCTCCCGCTTCAGCCCAAAACGAAACCAGAACCCAACTCCCAGAGCGGTTCTTTCCCCGCAGGAATGGAGTCAGAGCAGCGGGAGCGGGGCGGGGACGGGGGTGTCTAATCTGCTTAGCACTGTCTTTTCTTGCTACAGGTAAAAAAAGGGGGAGAGAAAGAAGAGCAAGGAAAAAGAGGGAATGAAATCCCCCACCTTCCCCTACATCATCCCTGGGCACAATGATTTTTGTTTATTTGGTGTTTGCATCGGCAGAGTAGGGGTGAATTCTAAGAATCCGTTGCAACAATAAATAAGGCAAAAGAAGGTATAAAAAAGAAACCCAACACTGCATCAGAGGGTGTTAACGAGATATAGTTTGCCGTTTTCCCACCCTCGGAGGGTTCTTTTCATTTATTTTGCACAAATAATAAAATTTATGTATCGCATTCTTGGGGTCGCTATGAGTCGCAAACGACTCGACGGGCACATAACAACAACAACAACATCGCACTCTTGGGTATTTGCGGGGCCCTCCTTCTTTTTGCCTGGACCTGGTTAAAATATAGAAACAATTATTCCCTACTTATCAATCCAAGACGGAGGACTGTCTTTCTCCTCTGAATCCAAATTGTGGTCGGGAAGGGGCCGTCCACCACAGTTGGTGTGTGTGTTCAGGGTTAATTTTCCCTTTATGGATAAGCCTCTGTCAGTCCCTATCTCCATGTTTTCTCCCTCCCAAACCTAACAATTTTAGAAACAGCCAACTGGGGGGCGGGGGTAACCCGCGTTGCTTTGTTCGTTCTCCCTCTATAGCTAGCCACTTCGATCCTGGATGATTATGTTCATTAAACTAGGATGCTAATGATGACGCTGATGAGAATGAAAACAACATAAACAACCACAATTTGCAAAATAAAATCCTTTCTTCTCGAGCTATGGCAGCAGCACCGACTGGGACTCGTCGGCAAGTCACCCGGTCATCGCGATGGGCACCTGTCCCCGCGTTGAAAGGGCCTTCCTCCCAGACCACTAGAAAAAATGCTCCTTTAGACGATCCCGGGGATCCCCACCCGAGCGGCCTGAAGAAAGCGCCTATTGTCCTCCTAGGAACCTCGTCCCTCGCCCCCACGAAACTGACCAGAAAAGGATGAAGCCGGCGTGGGGCAGGAGCAGAAGCCCCGGGCCCGGCTCGAAGGCGCCGGCCTCGACCCGCGCTGCTCAGCTTCGCGGCTGGAAGAACCTCCGGCTCTCCCGCGAGA